GTCATGGCATGGTGCAGTTACCAGTTTGAGCAGGTTGAGAAAGAGTCGACTTCCACTCAGCCTCACACTGAGGTTGCTCCAAAAAAACAAAGTTCAGATCACTGCTTCTGCCCTCACTCACTCTTGTATCTTCTTCCCAAGGCAAACCTGATCTGGCTGTCTGCTTCACAAGTTCCTTTTCACCCACTCCAGAATAAAACTGTTTCTGACATCCCAGCTGGCCTTGGTCTGTGTACATCCCTTTTTCCTCTGCCCCTGAGATGATAGCTGATGGGTGGGTGCTCATTTAATTAGCTATTTTATTTTTTAAAACAATTGCAAAGTATCCTGGATTTGAAGGTCATGTTGCTACTTAGCTACTCTCCAAGTAATTACCCAAATGCCACAAGAAAGCTGGTAAATTAAGATGTATATTTAAAAACAAAAATCAAGTGAATTACTTAGGAACAGCAGATATTTTGGTTGTAAAGAAAAGGTGTGTAATGAGGAGAGGGAAGAAGACTGAGTGCTTGTTTTAGAGCTTTTGAAACGAAAAAACTCCTTGTTGTGGCACAGTAGCATCGTAAAACCAATACTACAGGAAACAGGGCAAAGTTAACGCAGCTGCAGAAAGAAGTGTCTCCTGTAAAGAGCAAAAATCCCTATCAAAAAGGCTGAGGCAAGAAAATTAAAAGTTCTTTATAGCCATTGAAATGGAGAGTTATGTGGCTTATAGACATTGACTATTAAGATACAACAGGTAGAGATTGCAATGCAAAATAAATAGGTGATAGTTTTCTGCTCCCAAGTGATGTTTCTTTCTTTGACCATGCCAGCCAAGCATTCAAAACTGTTCTTTAAAGGAACACCGCCACGTATAAGAGCTTTCTTGTAGCTTCTCTCAGTCTTTCAGTTGGGGTGCTATAAAAGTGAGGCTGGAAGCTATTATAAATTATGCCTAAAATAATTAATTCTGGGTGACCTGGTAGCTTTAATTTACCCACAAGTATATCTAAGGTTAAGGTGGTTTCTCTCCTGGAATAGCTGTGTATTTTTAAGAGAGCTTCTGGGCAAAGTAGCTGCAGTCTTACAACCCAGGCAGAAGTCACTCTTCAGGGAACCTTATGGAGTCCTGCCCTGCAAAGGTATAAATCTATGAGTTCAGACTGACATCTTTATTTTTAATATGGAAAATTTAAAGGAAAAAAAAAAAAAAAAAGAAGAGGTTCTTCCCATGAAAGACATGAGAAGAAGATTTGAGATACAGATTGAGACATCAGTCGCAAGTCATTTGAACTGATCTTGGGGCATACATTGCCAAGTCCTGGCTGCTGCCGCAGGAAGCTGCGAGGCGGAGGAGAGTGACTCCAAGTAACTTGCTGGAACCACGTTATTGAGCGTTGGTCTGACTTGAACATTACAATTGCTACATGAAACAAAGCACCGATAAAAATAGTGTATTTTCTTGCCATGCTTCATTTCCTTCTGGATAGTCTCAAAATGTCCCTGTTTGATTCTTTTCTTTGTGCGGCTTCAGTGAGTCATTGTGATCACAGTGTTCTGGCAGCATTTTGAAAAGCTCTGAAATACAGAATATTTCCCTGAAATTGCCAAATGTTTTACATGGAAGTGGCTACATTTCAGGTAGGCTCGCCATGATATTCCTATTTTTTTGAACTATATATAAAAATCTCCTTCCTGTAAGAGTTACTCATATTTTAAATTAATTGCCCAATGCTTCATATTTTTTTGAGAAGTGATAGTGTATTTTAATCAGTCCTTTCTCCATCCCCAAGTATTCATTTTTAGATAACAAAGGAATCGTAGTCCTGCTACATACAGAGACTATTTAAGATCCAGCATCCCTGTCCTTTTCCCATATCTAAGCATGTGTTGGAAAATAAATCAGTCACTCTGTACTGGATACCAGGCATCACGTAAGAGCACATTTACTCGAATAGATAATTTGCAGGGTTTTGTCAGCAATCCCCGAGACGTTACCCCAAGCAGGTGTGTGAGATATGTCCAGGATGACTTGCCTATGTAAGTGCGAAGCTGTACGTGTTTGGCAGTGTGAAGGGTCTGATCACCCCTGCTAAAATGGGAATCTTGGAACCACTTTGCACATGGCGATAGAGTATGTGCTACAAAAAAGGACTGTTGAGCTGCATCTGCTGTCTTGAATTACTTCCTGAGCACACACATACCTGTGCGGGTTTCCTAAGCTGTATTTTTTTCTTTAGTTCCACAGTGACACTCCATAGCCTTCGATTTCTCCACCCAGTTGTCCTTATCTGTAACGCTGCTGGCTGCTTTCCAAACACAAGACACATCTGCTTGTAAGGGAGATCTTACATGTTCGTTTTGTTTGACCATTTTTTTTTAAATATATTTGCCTTGACCTTGTGTTTTTACTGCTGTAATATACAAAAGAATTTCCTTTTTTCAGTTGGGCAAGCCTGCCTATTGGGAGGATGATGGTGCAGCTTCTGCCTCCTGCATTTGGATTTGGTGACGACACGTGGTTTGAGTTTCTTCAGTGCTTGCAGAGCCCTCTATCTATGACAGCTCTTCCATTACTTCTGAAGAGTTGCTTAATATGGGCATGTGGGGTGGGACGTGTGCTGTTGACAAAGATTAAATTGTTCCGACAGCTGCTGCTGTCCTGACATACGTCACACAGGTACACGGGCCATATGTTCCTTCAGCATTAATGCTGACCTGTCTCGGTGCTTAGAGGATGTTTTTGTATCTGATATTAGCCAAGGCAGCTAGAAGAGAGCAGGAGAAAATGTCCTGACCCTTGGCATTACCATCTCCTCTGTTTCAGTCGTTACGGTTACTAGCAGCATAAAAGATGAAATCAGATTTCTGGAGCGTTGTCTGTTTTGCCCCTTTTTTTTTCCAGGACACTTGTTATTTGGATTCGTCTCCATAAAACACTGGATATCTAGATTTTGATTGATAGGTGCCTTAATTCATTACATCAATCAGACTGGGGCAAGAAATGGTGTCGGTTAGACTTAAGAATCATAGAATCACAGACTGGTTTGGGTTGGAAAGGACCTTAAAGCTCATCCAGTTCCAACCCCCCTGCTGTGGACAGGGTTGTCAACCACTCTATCAAGCTGCCCAGGACCCCATCCAACCTGGCCTTGAATGTGTCCAGGGATGGGGCATCCACAGCTTTTCTGAGCAACCTGTTCCAGTGTCTCACCACCCTCTGGGTGAAAAATTTCCTCTTAATATCCAACCTAAATCCCTCTCTTAGTTTAAAACCGTTTCCCCTTGTCCTGTCACTATCTGCCCATGTAAGAAGTGGGGCTCTTGAGTATAAGTCAGGTTTCCCTTTCTAAAAACCTCCATTTCTGTTTGATTTAAAAGTTTTAAACATAATTTTCTTGCAAGGGTATTGCAAGGCTTTTTTCGGGGCTTTCAAGACTTCAAAATCACGAGCAGCGTGATGGTAGCAGAGCCCCACGTGCTGTGGCTGGCAGCAGGTCTGTTTCTGAAGGGACATTCTGATTTCTGCAGCTGCCTACGCTGAAGGTGTGACTTCAGTGTCTGGTTTGAGGAAGGGGAAGCAGCAGAGGACCCCAAGTTCTTCACTAAGGATGAGAGCACCGTCATTATTGCCAGGATTCAAAGGCATGTTTCATCCCCATGGTCTCCTGAACAGATTGCAGCTCATGCCAAATTGTTTATCGCATTTGTCTATGTTATCAAACCCATTGAGCTTGTTATGATTTGTGACCCAGACTTGCAGTCTCCATCTCCAGAGCTGGGATGGTAGCGTGGAGAGCGGTATACCCTTTTTGTGGATTTTCCTCAGTCACTGCTAATTTCTAGCATCCCTTGGGTGAATCAGCCTCCTTCTCCTGCCTGATTCATTCAGTGCCATCATGATATGCTTGACATCACCATCATTTCCATGTTTAGTGAGTTATATATGTTTTAAAATGCTTTGTGACATTTAAATGAAGCAGATAGAGAAAGTGGATTTTGGAAAACCAGGAACATCTGGCACTTGCATGTTTTGTTTGGCAACTTTGTGAAATTAATACTGTCCTAAAGTAGAGAAGAAAAATGACACATTGAGCTTCTAAGTTAATTAGTTCTAACACTCAGGTGCTTGAAAACAAGGTTAGGATTGTCATGTTGGTCTGGCTGTGGATGGTTTCTCATGCCTGGCGTGTTTCCAGGTCATTCTCCTGGAGCGTGGTGCAGCAAGAACAGGAGCTGGCTTTTGAGATTGCATTCTTGCCACACCCGAAGAGGCTTTTTTGGTCATTTAACTGACGGATGAGTTGGCACAGCATAAACTTTGTTAGCTGGCAGCATGGGTAGCATTTGTTCTGCTTAGAAAAATATGTATCTGGAGTACATTACAGTTGTAGGACTTGAAGAAAATTAGTAGGGGGGGTTGTTCAGGAACAGCATCAAATATTATCCTCTCCTCCTATTCCCTGGCTAATCTAGCTCTTCCACAGCCATAACAAAAATCTTAAGGTACTATAACAGTTACTGGCAAGGTACAGGGTGAAACTTTAAGGAAAAGAAGCTAAATACAAAATTTATCTCTATTTTTATATTTGCATATTTTTTCTACTTCAGACTGTGTAAGATTAATCCTTTTTTGACCTTTTTTCTTAGCTTCTGGCAAGTAGCTTAGGAAATGCAGCCTTCAGTATACTAAATGTCATCCTGTCTAAAATATTTAACAACACAACTTGCACTGAGAAAGCAACACCTTTTTAACATGAGCTGTTAAAGAAAGGTGGTGCTAGCTTGTGTGAATACTTGCCAAGTGGTTTTGCTTGTAATAATTAACCATAATAAATGTGGAAGCAGGTATGAGTTGGATGTGAGAGCAACAGAATAAACAGTTTTGTGTTTAAACATCAAGTTCCTGAAAACTCATTAAACTTGCTTTGTTTTTTTGTTGAGTTCATTGGATAAACGCATGGAAACTTAATTGTTTTATTAAGAGTACGTTTTAAAAGTGCAGAGGTGTTTTACAGGTCATAAATGCTGCACTGGCTCTGGCTGCTAAACCCCAAAGCAAGCTGGCTCAAGAAAACATGGATCTTTTCAAAGAGCAGTGGGAGAAGCAAGTCCGCGTGCTGACAGATGCTGTCGATGACATCACTTCCATTGATGACTTCCTGGCTGTATCAGGTAATCAGAAGTTTGAGCTCAGAAATAATTGTTCTTGTAACTGAGCTTAGTCCTGGAAATGCGTGATTTCTACACGTGTTCTGGAGTCTTCTTGGGGTTTTGGAAGGGATGATATTGGTACGCATCACCTGGCAAACATCATCTTCTGCCAAGCAAGGTGTGAAAACAGAGCAGGAGATCTTGACATGAGGAGAACAGATATTTTTGTAGCATGAAAACGGTGATAGTTTAGTAGGTACTCTAGAAACCTGTCATTGCACTTACTGCATGTGCATGCATAAATGTATATATTTACGTGTCAGTAGACAGATCAGCTTAAACAGAGTGAAAGACACTTTATGTCTCAAGATTTTGAATTGCTAGCTGAACTACTGATGAATTACCATCTAGCTACTGTAGATAAACCTCACTGGTAAGATTGGGGGAAACAGAATATGTTTATGTTAAAGTTAGGAACTAGCAAAAAAGATGATCACCTTAGACTCATCTTATGCAAAGAAAAATGAGTATCAAACCATGGTTATACAAGTTAATTAAAATAAAATTATAGTAAATGTTCTGTGAATATTTTTAACCATGTCAGCTTTAGTAAAGTTTTAAAAAAATATCAGAAAATTATAATAGATTAATAATTTTATTTGGCAAAGTGCTTGCCAAGATAATCTGTTTTATCAGCATCATTGATAAAGACACGCTATTAGCTACTGTGACCTGGAAATAAGGGGGGCATTTTTATTTCCACGTCCTCTGATCCTGCTCTAGTCAGAGAACATGGTGATATAACCACATAAATTGTGTCTGCAGTAGTGTTCACAAATTACCACTACAAACTGAGGGTCTAATTTTCCTGGTGCAAACAGGTTTGAGCATCTCAAGTGACCTAAAAACTCTGGTTGTAAAGAGAAATTTCACAGGAAGATGTGGAGTTGTTAGAAGTACCAGGTGAATGTATCTAGGAAATGTAGACGACAATTCAGCCACGCCTGAATTAAAAGACCATATTTTAAAAAATATTAAATATAATTACATTGAATATTAAATAATATTTATATTATTTTTATTAATATTTTTTAAAGGGGAAAAAAACCCAAAAAACCCCAAGTAATGTTTGTATGGTGAGTCACCTGTATGTATTATCATACATGTTGTATTGTTGTTCCCTGGGTTCTGAATAAATTTTTTCTTTGCAATGAGTTAGCATAAACTTACTAGGCAATTGAATGTCCTAGTTCTTTGTATCTGTCTGCGTGCTCATCGTTGCAGCAGTGGTTGAAATTGCACAGCTGTGAGGAGCCTATTTCCGGGGAGGTATATTTAGAGAGAATTGCGTGCTGAAGTTCATGGACCTGCTTGGAGTTTGCCCACAAGCGTACAAAACATTTTAAAGAGAAAAAGCTGTTAGTTGGTGAAAACACAGTCTGTGTAAAGCTGCCTTACACTTAACAGGTGTGGCTCAAAATGGGTCGAGCCACTGGAAGTGACTGGTCTCCATCCTCGTAGAGGTTATTTGAGGAATAGGGTACTCTGCTTTCGAGGGTACAGATCGTGGTGTTGGTGCACTGTTGAGTTATAGAATCATAGAATGGTTTGGGTTGGAAGGGACCTTAAAGATCATCCAGTCCCAACCCCCCTGCCATCAGCAGGGACACCTTCCACTAGACCAGGTTGCTCAAAGCCTCATCCAGCCTGGCCTTGAACAGTTCCAGGGAGGAGCATTCACAGCTTCTCTGGGCAACCTTTTCCAGTGTCTCACCACCCTCACAGCAAAGAATTTCTTCCTCACATCTAATCTCCATCTCCCCTCTTCCAGTTTAAAGCCATCACCCTTATTCTTGTCACTCCCTGCCCTTGTCCAAAGTCGTCCCCTCCCCCCAGCCTTCCTGGAGCCCCTTCAGGTGCTGGAAGGCTGCAAGAAGGTCTCCCTGGAGCCTTCTCTTCTCCAGGCTGAACAGCCCCAACTCTCTCAGCCTGTCCTCACAGCAGAGGTGCTCCAGCCCTTGCATCATCCTCGTGGCCTCCTCTGGACTCGTTCTAATGAGTTGCTCTGAAGAGTTTCAAGGGCTTGGCAATAAGCAGGGAATGCTTATTTTCTAATGTGGTGACAGGCTGACTCAGAAGAGAGTTCACCTCGAGTGTGTGTTTACCACCCAAAATGATGCCATGGAAGTGCCATAGTTTGAGACTACTTAAGATGCTCCACTGCATTCAGCAATTATTTGTACATGCTGCATTATTAGAGAGATGTTAGAAAAATATTAAAGCAATAAATACTGCTTTATATATTATTTGATTAATCTTTGATACATGTTTTCCATATAAATGCCATAACTCCAATTCTCTGCTAAAAGTCTAAACGTTTCTTTGGATAAAATTGTGACAGGTATGATTTATACCGGATTCCGTTTGGGGTTATCGGGATGTCTGTGCATAGTAGGGTTTGTATCAGCTACTAACTGCGACGTAAGCAGAATTAATAAGTGTTCTTGGGGGGTGTATATATATATACACACATACATAAAATACTACATTCCTACAATGTTTTGTGCTGTCCTGCATGAAGTGTAGACTTCGTTGTTGAGCTTATGCTACAGAATTGTATTCATTGTGCACAATTAAAGGCTTGATGAAAGAGATAATAGCAGAGTATTGTACAAGAATAAGGATACTGAAATGCAGTGTTGCAGATAAGCTTCTGAGTTACAACATTTTCTGAAAGGCATAGCAGAAGGGTCCTGTTGAGTTAGGACAGCAGTCTGGCAGTGGCTAATTGTCAGTGCATGGGGGATTAATAGCAGAGTCCTGTAGATGGAAGATTTTTCCTACACGTTCCCAACCATGAGTGATTTGCAGCTGAGCTCAGGGAACCCCAGCTTCAGAGGTGCTACCTACTGAATAGTCCTTGACAGACTTTTCTCGTTTAAGCTTGTGTTAGTTCTTTTGACCATTGTAAACCGTTGGCATCTCCAGCATCCTGCACAAAATTCACGGCGTAACTGTGCTGTGTGTGAAGAACCCCGTTTTTTTTGCAGTGTTGCCCATTTGCTTCATTTGATGCCTTTAGTCGTAGTAGAAAATGGTGGAGAGGTTTTTTCCCTATTCACTTTTTTCATGCTGTTTGTAAATGTACAGATTTCTGTCCTATGCTTAGTCAGTCATCTATTTCTTGACTACAGAGTCTTTACCTGTTTCATTATTCCTCATTTCAGAGCTCTTCTGTACCTTCTGTAATTCTTCTCCCTCTCGTCAGTGCCTTCCCTAAGCACTCTGGGTGTGTTTGTCTGCCCACTATCTCTGTTCTTTAGAGCGGTTGCTGATAGCACCATGTAATTGTCAAATTCAATGTTCTGAAATTACTTGGATGTCCTTTGAAACCCTCTAAAAAAATCATTCCATTTGCTGCCTTCTGTTCCTCTGCTACTGACAGGGGTTTATGCAAGAGACTGCCCATCACAGTGAAGCTATTTTGTCTTAAGAGCCTGCAGATGAATGTTGCCTGGGCCCGATGATTGTCCATCTTCATTACAAGATAAATACTGTATTTACAATTGTATGAACACTCAAGTATTTGTTCCATAACCATGTCTGCTGGCACTGCTGCTTGACCTGGTTCCTCCAGTGTCCCTTGTCAAGAGAGGGTCTGGCATGGAGATTGTTCTAAGGTCTTCCACAGGGGACACAGCAGAGAAGCAGAGTTAGATTTATGCATCTGTGGCTTTATCTCCTGACTGTTGCTCTTTGATTTTGATCTGCTGTAGGCCCCAGACTCCCTTGCAGACTTCCTGAGATCTTTGGAAAAGGATTTCTTAATCCCTTTAATGGGGAGGTGGGTGGAAGTGGAAGGTGTTTGGTGGGGGTGGATAGAGGATTGACAGTTGTGGGGGACTTCCAATTCTGTTATCTTTTCAGAGGTTTTCATATTTCTTTTTTGCTCTAAAAATCTTTTTTTACTGGAAAAATGTTGTCTTGCTTCTTACCTTGTTGCCCAACCATACCATTTTTCCCCTGTAGGGCAAAAGGATGAGATCCCTTGGCTGTTGCCTGTGTTATGTTCTGTGTTATATTCTATTGCTGTAAGATTTTTCTTCAGCTCAGCAAGAGGAAGGCTGTTAGCTGTGATGCAGGACAGCGTTATCACGTCCCCAAAGGTTACTGGTGGTGAACCCATGCTTCAGCATTCCTTGGGTTCTGCCACCCCAGCTGCAGCAGATGGGATTTTGTGCCAGACACTTGTGGTCCATATGGCTGTAGGACAGGTAGTGGTGTGTGTATACACAAGCACACCGAACAGTGTCAGATCTGATTTGTTATCATCCAACTGGAGAGTACAACCAGAGAGGATGCTCCTGACAGTCCCCTACTTTCCCAGGGCCCCTTGCAGACTGCCCCGTGAGGGATTATCTTTCTGTAGAAGCATCTTTCTGGCAACTTTGCATCTGCAAAAGACATTAAATGATCAGCACACATTTAAATATTCATCTTCATTTTGTCCATGCCTTTTATTAAAGTTCATATAATCCAAAGAGGCTTTTAAATTGTCTGTGGCTTAATTTATTCGTTAAGGAATTCGAGCAATAAACAGCCCGTGTTTTGGCCTGACGCCGATGCTTTCCTTTTTACTGTTGCAACTTGCAGGAATGTCTGCCTCTTGCTGTAAATACTGAAACTCGGTGTGCTCCTTGCTGGAGCTCTTGTACCTTGGCTGCCTGCTCACTGACTCGTCAAATCACTAATGAACCTGCACTTCTCTCTCTTAGGGCCACATTCTGCCCTCAGCTGAACTTGTTCAGGCTGAGTTGCTTCAGAGGTACTTCCAAAGTGTATTTTTGTCCAGGTTACTTACAGAAGACTTGCAATATTGCACCTGGCTCTGTTAATTTTATGTAAATTAAACAGAACTCTTCCAGCAGCAATCCTTTCAGCCAGTTTATACAAATCCTCTATCAGTCAACTCCGTGTGCTTCTTGTCTCTACAAACTCTTGCAAAATGGCTCTTTTACTACCTGTGTAGGTAATAAAAGCCCCTTCAGTGGCACGGATTGGCAGCGTAACATGATTAAGTCAATGGTAAATAACGTTGAAAACTATTTTAAGTGTCAGAGCAGAAATGTTTCCAAGTTGGTTTCTTACCAAGCAGCCCGAGTGCTGATGTTGGATGGCAATGTCAAAGTGTTGGTACTGAGCCATTAAAGAAAGAAGTCTCTAACAGAGTTTGGAAGACCTTTTGGGTAGGTTTCCCCAAATGAGGATCCCAACCTCCTTAGGCATCTTCAGACATCTCTTAAGGGTTTTGACTCATTATGGGCCTCTTGGACTTGATTAATTGGGGGAAAGTATCTCTGTATAAAAAAGAAAATGTACATTCTAGAAGTAAATTACAAACAGAGGTCTTGGCTTTATTTTTTTTTTTTTTTCTTAAGAGGCAATGAGTACTCTGTCACTGGAATGCTTTCTGCATAAATCACCACATATGTTATGTGTCTTAAATTTGAATGGAGGACTAACAGTTTGATATTCTTTGGTGGTATGTGTGTGGTTGTAGGAAAACACTATGTGGGAAGCTAGAAACTTGCCTAAGTGCCCCGGTCTATTAAAACATTGGGTGGATTAGGTGTGGCGCTGGGGAGGGTGTCTCATCGCCCTACGCATGTGGAGTGACGGGGGAGTGGCTTGTAAATACTTGGAATAAGGGCTTTGGCAGTCCAGGGGAGGACTATGGAAAGAAAGACATTTGGGGAGAATTCAGCTGAACTCAGCTTTTCTGTTGGTAAAATTGAGTACAAACGGGGGCAAGAAGTAGGTTGGGTGCCAGTAGGTGAATGGACTGATGGGGTTTTCTGACACCTGCTTTGGAAGGGCAGCTACTTGCCAGTCATAGCAAGCTTAAAAATTAATGCTTTACAGCATCTCGCTGGAGGTTTTGTAGAGCAGGTCACAAACTGAGAAATGCAGTGTGAATGACTGCAACAGAAAAGAAGATACTACCATCTAAATCCTCCTTCTTTTACCACCAGAGAATCATATTTTAGAAGATGTAAACAAATGTGTCATTGCTCTCCAAGAAAAAGATGTTGATGGTTTAGACCGCACAGCTGGTGCGATTCGAGGACGTGCTGCTAGAGTCATTCATGTTGTCACTTCTGAAATGGATAACTACGAACCTGGAGTCTACACTGAGAAGGTGTTGGAAGCGACAAAGTTACTGTCCAACACAGGTAAGAGCTGGTTACTCCAAGATCTCTGAATTCATGTTGGCTTACAAGCACACAGGTAACTGGATACTAATGTACCTGTGAAATCTATTAAAGACTCTATTTACATACTGTAATGAAAATTAGTGGGAGTTATTTGCAGAGCTGTTGCAAAATGAGAAATGTAATTTTACCGTGTTGACTGGCTTAAAACTCAGCAGTGCACAAGGTCTCCTTGAATGTGCTTGCTGTCGCTGACTGAGCTGTAGGAAGCTAAAACACTGGGGAATGAGTCCCAAACGGTGAGTCAGGGCTTGAAAGTTACGCTGATCATCTTGCAGTATTGTACCAGGCTCTGTCAGTGTTCAGGATCCAGAAAGATTTCTACCGCATTGGCCCAGTAGAATGAATCTTGGATAATAATTTAGGGTAAATTTTGTAAAATATCTTTATAACTTTTAAAGAAACGTTTTAAGGTTGTAGTCACCCACTCCTAAACGATAAATTATTGTGTTTTCCTGTGAACTAGCTGGGTAAGGAATGATTCTCCTTGCTTCAATAAGCACTTCGCCAACTATTGTTGTTCTTGTTTTAATTACAACTTTGATGAAGAATCAAGGGTGACACTGAAGAAACAGACAGACTGTAAATGGTTCTGTAATGTTCTTCCTGGGCTGCAGTGAGTACAGCAGTGCAACCTGTCCTCTTCCAGTGCCTTGTTAAACTTGAACTTTGTCCTGGTAATTTTATTTTTTTCCACAAAAACTATGTACATCTACAGGGAATATTAAACAAATGCTTATTATTTTGTCCCATAGCTTCTAACTGCTTCCCCAAGTGTTTTCTCCTTGTCCACTAGAACGGTGTGATAAACTTTTCACTGTGTAAGGGGAAAAAAATACCAGTAGAGTGAACAGAAATGGAAGTGCACATAAGGCTCAAGCTACAGTATTGGTGTCCTTCTATAACAAATGTTTTGTATTTAAATGGAATCACTGCAGTGATAGTGAACTGATATCACAGTTTCCAGTGATAGTTAACAATGAGGCACACACAGGTCTTCTACGGGAATGTGTAGCAGAAAATGGCATTGGGGTGGGGACTGACTCTTATTTTTGTTCTTAATTCAGTTATGCCGCGGTTTACTGAGCAAGTGGAAGCTGCTGTGGAAGCACTGAGTTCAGACCCCGCTCAGCCAATGGATGAAAACGAGTTTATCGATGCTTCACGACTGGTGTACGACGGAATACGAGATATCAGGAAAGCCGTACTGATGATCCGGGTGAGCTTTCTGTTTTTCTCCTCACTTTCCCCACCTCTGTGGGACTGACATGCATCAGTTTTATTGGGAGCAGACAGTGTAAGGTTTTCATTTAGCTCATATTAATGTTCTGAGACTTAAAAACTGCTAATCACCGAGTGGAGTGCATCAGAAGTGTTTTGATTCAAATTCATTAAACAGATCTGATATGATAGCCAGAGTTGTGATGCTAAATACCCTTCGCGCGTCTTTTGTAATGTCACGTTAATGCCTTGCTTGTTAATGTGCTAAAATCAGTGACCTTTGATTTAACAACAGCAAGCACATTCATAACTATAGATGATTTTTGATGGTTTGAGAGCTTAGAAATAAAACCTGATGGCTCTTTGTGAAGTAAATTTTGAGAATTAATTCTAGTTAGTCAAGAACAGGTTTAGATTAGTTCAGCCTGTAGCTCCTAGAGCATGTAATTCATTAATTGGCTAACCTCATTAAACCACAAGCAGTTCACAGAGGCTTTGTCTCTTCTGTGCTTGCATGTTTTAGGTGCAGCGAGGGTGACTCGGAAGTCCTAGTTTCTGGTAGGTCAGGCAGCATTAGTCTGGAAGGAGGCGTGCAGGGAAGGTGCTGAAGGGCTCCTGCAGTTCCTTGAAGGGATGCAAAAAGAAAGTTCTGGTTGAGGCTGACCTAGGGGCATATTTCTTGAATTTTAGTGTGGTAAAAAGGGCAGGAGCTAGACACAAAAAACAAGTGTAGAGATTTTTTTCCTTTTTTTTTTTTTTCTTTTTTCCTTGTACCCCTCTGACTCAAACATAAATGCCTTGCAGAGAAACTGTCTTCATCTTTCAGAATGGTAACCACGACAGATGCATTTTGGTGATAAGGAAATTCGGGATGTACAGCCCCGGAATATACATGATTATAGTTACCACTGCAATAGTATCTTCCATGTTTGCTGCTTAAAGCAAAGAATCAGATGGAAAATCAGAAAAGCTGACAAGCACATATGTGCTCTTCGTATAATTTTTTTCAAACTTAAACTCGGGATTTATAGACAACCAATGTTTGATGAAGATATCAGTGCTTTCCTGCTATGCAGGCAAACTAATTTGATTCACCCCCTGCTAAAGTCCTTGTTATTCAGGACATGAAAGCATGACTGCCAGTGTCACGTCGTCAGTAATTAGCCGAGCTGGCGATGCCAGGAATCCTGACATTTCCCCTTGCACCGCGTCTCTGATGTCAGGGTGCCACGGCTTTATTGCAGCTGCCAGTAGCTAACGGCAGCTCACTGGTGACACATCAGTGACCTATAAAAAAGTTAAAATGTTAGTATTTGTTGTCCAAAGGTGTAGAATGTATTTAGGATAAGACAGCCATCCAAATGGAGATGCTAGGCCACCGCTTCTCCAGGGCATTGCCTCATATTGGACCACAGGAGTCACCATGCTCGCAGGGGGATGCTGCTAAGCTCAGCTTGGGCAATCAAGCTGATTCACTCAAAACTTTGTCTGGTGGCACTTGTTCTTTACAGAAACCAGAAGGAAAAGTCACTCAAACACCTAATTTTTGTGTTTATGCAGTGTATTTTCAAAACGAAATCTTACTGTATCTGTAGGTTATTGAAGTACAGCTCTTTTCTCCCTCATCCACAGACAATCTCTTATCACTCCCAGAGGAGATTTTGCCCTTGATGATGGGTTGAAAAGCAGAATTACACTTTGTGTACCTCAGGTTGTTTGGCTTTGGGATGGATGGGCAGAGAAGGGGACTTGAGAATCATAAACAATTTCTAAAAATGCAGCAGAACTGTTTTATTTCTTTTTTAAAATTTATTGTTTAAATATTGATACATTGAGCTACTTAATAGTGTATGTCCTTATGGTGATTTTGTGGATATACTCTGTTTTGCAAGGCACAGAGAGGAAATGGTGGCTGAAATACTGTAGGTCTTGATTGTCAGCATATTCACCTTTGCTTTTTGGCAACTATTTTGCATATTCATCTTTATTTTAACTGTATCACAAGATGTCTGTATTGGAAAACAAGTTTGTTAAATTCAAATCATAGGAAAGAAATCTGAAGAGCAGGGACTTTATTTACATCTTACCTGTTAATCACAATTTACTGCATTTATCAGTGAAGTTCTTTGTTGATCCAGCTCTGTAAGATTGTCATGAAGTGCCACACTAGGCAAAGATGTAGTATTTTGACAAACATGCTGTTTAAACTTGATAAGCTTTATAAAAAGTTTGCCAGCTGTAGACTGGCAGTAGCAAAAATAAATCCTAGGCAAGCAGGAACTAGGTCAGATGTGTTTAGCCTACAGCATAAAAGCTGGCCCTTACTAGCTTAAAAAATCCAGCTTTTCCTGGGGGATAAGAATAAATTTTGATATATTTTATCTGTTGTTAATTTAGTCAATGCTTTGATTCATAATCGTGCTAAAGACGACGTCTGTGGTTTTGAACTAAAGCTGTGTGTAATTTTAGCTTCAGAATCTCAAGTGAAGCTTTTACATTTAACTGAGTTGCAAAAGATAGTGTTCGTTTTGTAAAACCTTTTTTTCTGTGTTTCAAATCCTGAGTGCATTAGTGTCCTGATGAATCTCAGATGTTTAGTTACTGGTATGTAATTTTGGGGATCTCTATGGTGTTTAACATGAGCAGTCAAGCATATATAATCACACATGTTCACAAGCTGGATACAGTGCCTATATTTACCTTTTCGTTGAAAACACTGAATAATTTTTACCTTCACTTATTTCCATTCTCACTGCTTGAAAAACAATATTCTTGTTGATTTTTGAGCCATGAAATCTATTGTTTGACTCTGACTGAATTGCTCTTTCCTCAGACTCCTGAAGAGTTGGATGATTCTGACTTTGAGACTGAGGATTTTGATGTCCGAAGCAGAACAAGTATTCAGACTGAAGATGATCAGCTTATTGCTGGACAAAGTGCAAGGGTAAGGAAGAAATCTGAGTATTAGAAAATTGTGGCCCATCTTGAAGAAATGGTTCAACTTGCTTTGAAAGTCCAGGTTAAATTTTTGGGGATGGCAGTTGGATCAGAAAACTGGCATTCTTTGTTTCCAGTTTTCTTCTGCAAAGGAGGTTAAGTGAAATGCAGCATGTGTTGGTCTGATGGATGTCAGAAATGTCTGTGATTTATTTTGAATGTTCTGAAAGATCAAAGTCCTTTTAATACCAGTGAACTACTTAGACTTTGTCATTGCAGATGTTGTAGACACTGCCATTTAGTTAGGCAGGTGAGGTCCTGGAGGGAGAGGAGGAGTAAATCATTCCATTGTACTAACGTTATTTTCAACAGCCAAATGCTAAGTTTGTGGGCAAGAAATATAAAACTTTGCAGTTATTTTTACAAAATATCTTCTCATGCACGTGTTGGTGTCTGTTTGACTACTGAGCATTTAATCAAGACAATGTTGAGAGAAACTCAAAAATTAAATCATTTAAACTAACTGAATTTCCTATGCCGTTAAAAATTAACACATTGATAGGCAATATATAATCATTAATAGGTGAAAACTTAAAATCAGTACATTGAAGAAAAAATAGGCCTTACTTATTGTTTTTATTTGACATGTCCCCTTCTGGATTGATAACAATTTATGCTCTTGTGAAAGTGCCACAAAAGATTTTTTGTCAAGGCTCTTCTAGCCTGAAACCACGCAAGAAGTAGCTAGGCCTTATTTATCAAACTTCTGCCATGTTGGCTTTGGAATTATACTGAGAGTATTTTTTATGCTCTTCTTCCTTGCACAAGCACTCTCTATTCCTGTATCCCTCCTCCCCTTTTTGTTTAAATGCAGACGTTTCTAATTTACCTTTTAGCATGACTGCTGCCAGAGGCTTTTTTGTGCTGAAGACTCCTTTTCACCTGCTCCTGGAAGCGTGAATGCTCCTAGTATTTATGAAGGCAGGGGCACCGAGTCTCATACAGGCTGTAAACCTAGTCTAATAGATTTTATTCAGGAGTAGGCACATACTCTTTATTTTCACTTACTCTTTCCTCAGTATGCATGGTTCATGGTTCTTCCCTTTGCAGGGAAGAAACTCATAATATTTCTTTGTGCATTGCAACACTTAAAGATATCCAAATGCAATGTCCTTGTAAAACTGTTAAATTTTGTAGAAAAGGCAAGTCCCTCCTCTGCCTGCAGTTTTTCTGTGATGGCTTATAATGTCTGGCAAACTTGTCTAGAGTCTAACAATTCTATCATGCAAATGCCTGTATTTCAGATGTCAGCTTATCTTTCTGGGCATTCTTTCTTAAGAAAGACCATAAACTTCGCTTCAAAATGGAAGGAAATGGTTCTGTAAAGCCTCTAGGTAGAGGAGCGCTATTAAAGTTTTATCCCCCATCTACATGACTTAAATTGGTTATTAGTGAAATGTTCCAAAAAGCCTTCTACAAGTGGCAGCATAAGGCAATGTGAGAAAACTCTCTCTTTTAGGCTATCATGGCTCAGCTCCCTCAAGAGCAAAAAGCTAAGATTGCTGAGCAAGTCGCAAGCTTCCAGGAAGAAAAGAGTAAATTGGATGCTGAAGTATCAAAATGGGATGACAGCGGTAATGATATAATTGTCCTGGCAAAACAAATGTGTATGATTATGATGGAAATGACAGACTTCACCAGGTGAGTCTTTTTAATTTGTGCACATACCACCTTCTCTCAGAACTGGCTGGGATGCTGATCTTTCAATGAAGTATTTTGCAATTACTCTTAAGAGTCTTACTTCTTATAATTTCCTTTAAATGTTACCCTATTAAAGCCTTTGTGTTAGCTCGGGAGATGCATTACTATGCAGTGACTGAGTGGTAATAACTGTTTAAATTGATCTATGGATACACAGCAGTTATTGCCTGTCTTTCTTCCTTTCTTAAGGGTGATTTTTGTCCCAAGCTAAAAAAAAAATATATATATTTGCTCAGTTCCTTACAACATTAAATTCTATGGGCTTCTTGATATTGCTATACTGCAGAAATAGTTCCTAGTACAGTTATTTGCACAAGAAAGAGAGAGGGTTTGATGCCTTTTGAAATTAATTTACCAGATTTTATACAACACTATTTTTTAAACTTGATGTTGCATTCAGTGAAAATTGAGAATCTATCTTCTAAAATCTCTTATCTCTTATCATCATTAGGTTGCTTAAAACAGTAAAATTTAAGATGTTTTTATTCCTAGATTTAATCTAAATATGGGGAGGGGCTGGAAGGGGGAAACTGTCTTGAAAATGAAGGTGCTGTCGTGGTTACACCTGCCTATTTCTGTGTGACCTTATTCATGTGGTTTGGGTGAGGAATCACTTCCAATACTGCATGGAGCAGGATGAGTAAAGCAACATATAGTTTGCTCTTCTGGTTTTCTGGTGCTAAAAGGTAGGCTCTGTTCTGTTTTGCAGGGGTAAAGGTCCATTGAAAAATACATCAGATGTGATTAGTGCAGCCAAGAAGATTGCAGAGGCTGGGTCAAGGATGGACAAGCTGGGACGGACGATTGCTGACCATGTAAGTCACAATTCATTTTCATAAGCCTCCAGCACAAATGGGCAATAGGAGATCTTTTAGTACTGCAGACATGATGAACAGAAGAAAATGTGTTTAGTTTGTGAGTTTTTTAAACTGATTTTCCAGATCTGTTGCTGGAAAATTCTAGTCTTTTCTTTCTAGCTGCTCTCCTGCCACCCTAAGCAGTGTAAGCAGCTAAATATGTCCAGCAGTAACTCTAGCAGCTCCTTGGCTTGAATCAAGCACCTAACATTTTAAGGTGGCAATATGCCAACACTGCTTCATGTCACATAGTATCTAGGCCAGTTTCTCTAACTGAACAGGACTGAAACTGAATTCATGGTGTTCCTGTCATGCTCAGATTGTGCCTAATGCTTTCCAAAGCAATGACTGCATAGGCAACACCCTAATTATTGCACTTGACCTATTGCACAACCTTTAGTATTATTTTTGAGTCAGCTTTCTAATATTAACAATTTTCAAATGCCCCATAGACTGAAAGGTGATATTGGCAAAACTCTCCAGTATTTTTTTTGTTGTTTAGTCAGACTTGATGAAGACTTTGAGCAAGGCACATAGTGACCCAAGCATTTTCTATGCTGTCCCAGGTTGTTGTGCATGTTGTTGTGCTATATGTACAAAGGTATTTGAAAATAATTCTATAGGATTGAAGGAGTATGGGCCAGCTTGGGGTTTCATGCAATGCATCTGTCTGAACTGAGCCACTTCAGAAACTGGGTTGGGCCAAGCAAAAGTGCCTTTGGTCTCGGTCCACACCCAAACTGCAGAGAAACGTCAGCATTAGTAATAATATTCTGCCTTCAAGAAAGACACTGAAATGCAGGTAGGTTAAGACTGAGATTGTGGACTAAACTTTATTTTGTACAGCTGTCACTTGCTGTTCAGTCCTTCTCTGAATGTAAATTCATAATGCAACGGTTTAAATAAAACTGTGTCACTTTGGAAGTAAATCTTTGTAATGCAGATCTCTCTTTAAGTGTTGCATCCAGAGGCTGTTGTCTTCACCCTAATTTATTAGTGATGCAGCTAGAAATGTTCAGTGGGGAGATAAAGTTGAAAAGTGTTTTTTAAAATAGGTCTCCTTGCTATAGCATTTTGATAACCATATTTCTGGAAGAATCAGGTGCGCTGCTGCCTTAGGTAAATGAAGCAACGAGCAGTTTGTGTTACAGATCTCGGGGGATCTTGGGCTGAAGGTTTACAATACTTTCTTTTGTTTGAATTCACATGTTTTATGCAAAGTTGGTGTATGGTTCTCTGCACCGAGCCATTTCAAAATACAGAAGAAAACTAAATGACTTCTTTTAGTAGAAGTAAGGTCCTTAAAAATGTAAAAGGTTCAGCACTTGTTTGAAGATAAATATGAGCAGGACTGTACAGTTAGTAATTTTGACAAGAATCTAGCTTTTTTTCTTTCTGACTCTGTACTCATACTTTCAGCTTGCATATTTCATTAGATATGCTTACATACTCTTTAGAAACTTGTAGGGATCTGTTAATGTAGAACTCTCTGACAGTTACAGAGGACGTACAATGCAGCCATTTCAGCGGAGCACTAATGCCTTCCTGTGTCTAATACGGGCTTCTAACAAATGGATGGGGTTTTGTGTCCTGTTCACCATGTGACACCGGGTGGATCATGACCCCTCGTGTTAGTGTGTCAGGAACTCCTAACTCCTGCCATCAGGCAGTTTTACAGCACATTTCCTTTGAAACCATAAAAGCTATTATCCAAGGTATTTCACGTCTGTTGAAAAGTGTCTAACCGTCAGCCGGCGGGTTTTCCCAAAGGTGTTCTATCTTTCACTCAAAGCAGCAGTCTGCTTGTTTTGAGTGGGGGAATATGAAGAAGTTACGAGTACAACACAAATGAAAATGATTTGCAGCAAGACAATGATTCTCTGTATTTTTTTTTTTCAGTGTTGAAAGTCTTAAAAAGCAAAAGAAAAATGGTGTTGTTTTTTCTCTTTGATAGTGGTGGGAGGCTGTATCAGTATCTGATCATTACATTGAAAAGAGCTGGGGGGAAGTGTAGGGATTGCCCTGCTTCCCAGGAGAACACTCCAGCATTGCTTTTGCTGGTGAGACTGGTCTATGTGCTGCAGAGGCTGCTCTGGGGATGTGCTCTGGGCACAGGGTGATGGCTGTCCTGGGTGACTGCTGCTGGTTCACATCACCACATGCCTGTCCTGCCACGGTAGCTGCTTCCCCTAAGTGCCTGCTTTTGGCTTCTCTAACCAAACCCTGCCCAGCCCAGCTGGTACACGGGCCTGGTGGGGGCATTTTATTGTGAATTATTGTTACAGCAGTGTTCATACCCTAATCCAGGGATACAGTGGGACTAAGAAAAGTCTCTGTGGCTGCTTGCTGACACCTGCCAAACGTGGGGATTGGGCTTGTGTGCTCGTCTTAATCAGCACACACCGCAGGGAGCTCTTCTGTCTTTCCCTGCCCCTTTGCTTTGCAGGTGAGAAGAAGGTGAATCTGCTTCTCCATAGTCTCAGCTGTGGTGGTAGGAAGCAAATGTGTGTGTGCATTTGCTCTGTCTGGGACGGATCCTGGATTTGACTTGGAGCAGCCAGCTCAGCTTTTGCCAACAAGCACCCCTGAGTCTGTGGCAGCATGTCATTTTGGGGGTTTGGGGTGGAGGGGGTGTCCCCCAACACACAGTGGTTTCTGTCTACAGTGCAGGTGTCTGCTGTGACTGTGTTGTGGGAATCGTCCCAAGCTAGCTGTGCAAATGGGGTTTTTTCTGACTATGGCTGTTGTAGGTTAATACAATAATGTAATCTTTCTTAATCAGTGTTGAAATTGTTGCCTTTTGGGCTTTTTGGTTTTTATCTGAGTGTTCCTATGTGGGAAAGGACAGGGCTCACACAGGTATCCACAGTGCCTTTTGTTGATGTTCTTTTTATCTTGTGTTACATCTCTATTCAGTCATCATCTGTCTGTGAACTGAATTCTCTGTTCTGCTCATAGAAATAGCACAGACAGTATAGGATGTGGTTTTCCAACTTACATGATATTGGTATGTACAGCCAAATAATATTTCCTGTTCCACTGCTTCCCCCACTAATGCTTTGCTTCCTCCTTCAGCCATCAGTAAACGTGTGGCAGCCTTTTTCCTTGAGAGTTTTTTTTCCCTAAATGGTTTCCATAAACTCACAGCCCATAAAGTACCTTGAATTGTTCAGCGGTCCTTCTGACATGCCGTATTGTGCATTTGTCAACATTCAATTCAATCTGCTGCTGTGCTGCTCGTTCGCTTTGTTAGATGAGCTGTTTGGGAGATGGAGAGCATTTTCCAAAATGGTAATTTCAGCTTTTCATTAGCTCTTTGGCCAACGCTATTTGTGGACTTTTTCTAAAACATCTTGTACTGCTGACTAATATTGATTGGCTTAAAAAATTAACCTGCGAGCTTTGCTGCTTCATTATTCATGGTTTTCACTTCACTGATGGAAGCAATGTGCCTATGCAAGAGTTGCAGCTACTTGGGGTGTTTCTTACCTTCCTCAGGACTAAGAATGTGATTTCTGTTCATTTATGGGCACACTGGGTCAGATGCCCATAAAGCCATCCAGGTCTCTGTAGCCTGTGTTACACAGCTTGTCCCAGCTTGCCAAAAATCCTGTTGTAGTGCATTGTGTGTGTGTGTGTCCTGAGATCACAGCTCAGCAGTCTGCTGTACAGAGGCATCGCTATGTGCAACATGTAGTACAGCTGGTTTATCTCGGCTGTGCTGAAATACCACGCTGGCTTAAGAAACCCACTTGTTCTGGCCCTGGAAAAAACAAATGTGTGTATTAGCTACACTCATCTTCCTCTCAGGGCTAAATATCTGTTATGCCAGATGAGTTACTATTGTGGGAAGCAAACGCTTCATGTGAACATGACCCCCTGTTTGTACACCACTGCTTGTGCAACATGATGATCTGTCTGTTCTGGTGCAGTGTTCTTTTGTGCCTTTTACATACAGGGAAACTTGGGTTCCTGCTTCCATCTTGTAGCTAAGGAGAAGTCTGCAGTGAGAATTAGGGCTCAGACCCTCCTGCTGACACCCAAGAGGGGATTTTTACCCTCCTCTGAAAGGAGAGGACAGGCTGTGTGTCTGTAAGCAGTAAACCTGAGCTTCAGTGAAGCTTTAAGTAGTCAATTGGTGCACGTTTAAAAGGTTATTCTTCCAAGCGTACCGTGTCTGTTATGAATCTTCATTTGATGGTCTGTTGTACATGATCACGGTAGTAGATGAGAGGATTTTGCTGTGCATGGGTGTGTGGAGAAGAGCTCTCACAGCCTGTACAGCTCTGAATCAGAGGGTCTGGTTGGTGGGAAGAGCAAGCAGGTGCTGAGTGAAGAGAAGCGAATGCTGCTTAGAGCAAGACCTTGTCATAGAATCCCAGACTAGTTTGGGCTGGAAGGGACCTTAAAGCTCA